CTACTAGGGAGAAGTGTCCAAGTGCACTTATATATAAGAACACTTAAGTGAGGTGTTCACTGGGTAACAAGTGATAATAGTCTGATCTCTCTCCTGTCTCTATATCAAGAGAGAGATGAGGCGCATGCCAGGTCTGTTATGATTTAGTTGACCTCGTCTGCCCTCTAGACGCTAGAGTGTGGGAAAGAAAACACGTTAAATATACTGTTGTGCCAATATGAGCTGACATCAGCCAGACCTCGCTCACTCCCTGAAGGAACTACAGCCTCAACCATGTATAATGTCAACAGCTGAGGCGCAGTTGAATAACTTGGTGAATAATTTGGTATTATACATTTGGGTGAATATTTATATAATGTAAATGGTGCTGTTACACCCCTCGGCTGCCTCCAACCGAGACCTCGCGGATTAAATCCTAGGTGTACTGAACCTTGTTCCAATAAAGTGTGCTTCAGCTAAACTTTTTCTTCTTGCACATGCTTTTGCAATTCCTTCCGAAAAGTCTTCTTATAAACTATTGTGTACCTAGAAAAAATCTTCCTGTAACAAATTATTATAGCTATCAAGGAACTGATAAATATGATGGTAGGTACAGGTATAATGAAACCAGGTAGGATTATACTGGAAGTTAAATATAAAGGAAGAGAATCCTGTAAGTCAGGAAACTGTGTCTCATTAATATAAGAGAGAAGTTTAAGCTAATTAGAAACAATATGAAGATTACTGAAACTTACATTTAGGGAAATGGTGTGGGAACCAGTTCAGAAATAATGTTTGTGACAAATGCAAGATGATGGCTAGTAGGCAAGGTTGTGATTGCATTACAGCTAATTTCACAATATCTGGTGCTATATGATAACCTTCTACCATTAAATGTTTGCCTACATCTTGGCATATGAGTATCGCACTGGTTTGATTTGTGAAAAAAAAAATATTGCACATTATTGGCATGTGCATGAAACACTAACCTATGTGGTATTGGAGTATATACACATTGTTGTAGAGCTGTAGAGGCATTAGTTTGTAACAGAGCTAATTCACATGCAGCCTCAGCGGCTCGTGTGAAAGCGAAAGCATATGCAGGACAAACATGCAAGTGTAAGTATGTTGACTTACAATGACTTAGGACTTAATGCTTAGTCATAGCAACTAATGAAAAATCTTCTGATACTACTATTAGTTCAGTTTGTTTTTTGAAAATTAACAGTCCCTCATTCGCATTCAATGGAAATGGTTCCAAATGCCATGCATCATTTTTTTTTTTTAGTGGAATGTGTATTAGTATTTCCTTATGTGTTAAGGTTGTCTCTAATAAGGGGTAATAATATTCCACTTCATGCTCCTGAAAGATAGGAGTTAGATGATATTTAATTTCAGCGATATGTAAAGCGGCAATAAGTTGACCAACTGGCAACAACTGTGCATTAACGCGACCTAACCCTGCATTTACTAGATCGGCTATGAGCCTATTTTAGGTTTCTATGAAAGCTTTTACTGAGGCCTCAGCTGCATGTATATATTCTGTGAAGCAGAGTAACCATTCCAGTGTAGATTCTGACTGTGTGAATCCCTGGACAACGCGTTTTAGTTGATTAGTTTCGTCAACAACAGCATTCATGTGAGAAGTCAGAGTTTGTACTGCCGTGTAGGACTGTTCAATTGCCCTATTTTGTTTCTTAACCGCTTCTGAAACTGCATTAATTTTATTTCCTAGTTTAGCTACATCTTCGGCGGTTGCCGTACCAAACAAAGTGTTACTTATTAACCCTACAAAGTTAAATAGACCACGATTTTGACACCGCTGAGAATCTAATGTACATTTTTCCCGATGTCTTCAGGAGATATAGGGAGCTTTCCCTCGAAGTGATTTACTCACTTGAGTAGACTATTCATACGGCAGTGTTGAAGAGACATGATCTAACGGAGTGTTGTAGAGATTGTAGATTGGTGTTCGAGATCTTGCAGAGTTTTCATAGCTGTTTCAATGTGGGCAGCTATTGACCTCAGATGCACTGGCATGCGCATTAAGTCATGGAGCTCGTACTTGAGAGTTACAACGTATTGTGCTACCAGTACTTTGTTTAGTGGGGCAACAAAAGCTCCGGGTTTGGCGACGTCTGCTGGGGATGCGGCTGTTGTCACCGCGCTCCAGACCAACAGTAGTAATGATATCCAACCCATGTTTGAAAGAGGCGAGGATAATTAACGATTTTTGTTTGCTGATCGTAGTTTTTGACGATATGTATTGTCTGTCGTTATATTTTGTTGAGCAACTGTTGTAGTAGACGTAGGATGTTCCTCACTGACATTTGAGATCCCTACTAAATCTCTGCTGACTTTTTTCAGTCTACCTACATGTACTATATCTGTGACATTAGACGGTGGCTCAACTAACTGGAATTTGTTTCCATGTTCTTTCGCTGTAATCACGTACGGACCTGTGAATTTAAGCGAAAATTTTGATGTGCGTTCCGGCGCTTTTATCATTACTTTGTCTCCT